GGGAAGGGCAGCGAGGCCCGAGCGGCTTGCCGCTTGGGCCTCGCTTTGAAGCCGGGGGGGAGGGAAGGGGGGAGATCGAGCGGGGGGGTGGAGGAGACGTGGGAGGAACCGGCGGGATGGGGGGGACTTACCTCCTCCTGCTGCTTCCTCCTCTGCTTCCTGTGTGGAGGTCCCTCCCCCCCGCGAGTATCGCGGGTCCCGCCCCCTTGTTTGTTCTAATCTGCAGCTAGAAATTTTTGTGGAATGTGAAATACATTTTTGTGAAAATTGAGCACACGGGACTTAATAAGGAACGAGGCTATTAAAAAGAAACCAATGTGGGAAGGATCAAAAGAAATAGAGAATTAAAATGAGTACTCTTTCCTTTCAGTCTTTGTAACTAATATATTATGGGATTAATTACTTAGGTCCAAACTACATATTACATTTCCTAAGGAGTCTGATCTGGGTTTTCTGCTCAGTGTCCCCGTAGCAGCTGCAGGGAATGACATTTGTCTACAAGAGCCCAATTGGACTAGGGACTGTGGTGTAGGGGGGGAGGAGGGGCTCTTGCCTCTCCCTATAGCCTTTTCCTTAGCTGAAACTGCTCCTGGGGAAACTATTTATTCTGCTTTGGAGGTGCAAAACGGGGGACCTGGGCCTGACTCAGACTATATAATATGTGTATTTGGATTTGCCTAAGATTACCATTTTCAAGATGTGGCCTGGAGAACTCCTGAAATCACAACTGATCTCCAGGCTACAGACAGCAGTTCCCTTGGTGGAAATAGCACCTTTGGAGGGTGGGCTTTATGGCATCACATCCCTGGTAAGTTCCTACCCTCCCCAAACTTTGCCAACCCCAGGCACTGCCTCCAAATCTTTAGGAATTTCTTAAGGCAGAGTTGATAGCTCTAGACCTGCCTCTGTTGAGTACTGCTGCAATTCCCAGGATTCTTGGGGCTTGTTTTCTATTGGCCTGTATTCATTTTGCCTTTCAACTGTCCTGGAAAACCAACCTTTGAAAAAGACGTCTATTTCAGGACTAGGATCCTGGAAAGTCCAATTCAGTACAGGCTCTTCAGGAACCAAAATTAAGGAAGGCCCCTACATGGAGAGCTGGACCCAAGAGGCTGTAAGGGGGAAAAGCTTAGAGTAAACCTTGGAAAGGAGGGGGTGGGGATCCACAAGAGAATGAGAGGGAGGAGGCTTTCTTCCACAGGGTACAAATCTGTATATAAACTGTGAAGCTCTTATTGGATTCTAACGCTAATATTGTAAATTCTGCTTCCACAGATTCCCGTTATGGGAGGAGCATTTATGGACTCGCCCAATGAGGACTTCAGTACGGAATACTCCTTATTTAACTCGTCTGCCAATGTCAATGCAGCCGCCTCAATGCCAAACCAGCCAGAAGAGGCGTCCCGTTCTTCAAATGATGCCATTTTGTTATGGATTGCCATTATAGCAACGATTGGAAACATTGTCGTTGTTGGAGTTGTGTATGCATTCACGTTCTGAGCGAGAAACAAGAAGAAGGCGTAAAGAAGTTGGCAGTCGATGCGCTGCCTCTTACCAGTGTGTGTCTATATATGCGCACATTCATATATAAAAATGTATATCTTTATAAATATATGTAGTTAAATGCTGTTTACTATATAAGAGCAAGTGTGATAGTGGATGGAAAAAACCCTTGAGAACCTGTATAAATGGTTTTGGGGGTGAAACGTAATTAACAGCATAATCAACAAAGTGTAAATCTAATGTGAAGGGCCAACGTGAACACACAATACTCATGTGGGAACAGCAGGTTTGCTTGGCAGGGGCTTTATTTTCTGCTGGCTAGTAAACCTGGACCGATTTCCCACAAGCTGCTGCAGCGCGCTGGCTCTTCCCTTTGCCCCGATCGTACGTGTCAATTTCACACTAAGTGCTGCGCGTCTGCATTTTGCCCCACAGCTTTGCCCAATTTTCCTCGCCTCTACTCAATTCTCAAAAAACAGGAGTAGAGGTGGGGAAAATCGGTGGAAGCTGTGGGGTGAAATGCAGCCGTGCAGCACTTAGTGTGAAATTGACACATACGATTGGGGCAAAGGAAAGAGCCAGCATGCTGCAGCAGCTTGTGGGAAATCGGCCCTGGTGTTTGCTTGCCTTCATTGCTGTAGTTTTTGTTTGTAATTTGCCCCATTGTGGATTTGAATTTTGAACATAGATTTTTGTATAAATGGCTTGCCCATTTTCATCCTGTGGTAACTTAATTCCCATTGTTCTTCAGAGGCACAGGGCATGTGAGCATGACATATGTTCTCATTTTTTTTAAGTTCATTTTTGTTAGGAATATTATGGTAAGGCAACATATTGGAAAAACCGTTTACTGTCAAAAGCCATGTGATACACATAGGTCATGCCATAAAGATATATCACAATCAGCTCTTAGGTATTTTGATTAGTTTCCTTGTGCTGCTTCAGTTGGAGAAGGGAAGTAGTTTAGATTTCTAAAAAGTTGTAACATAAAATGTGTGTGAATTTGATATGTTGGCTATGTAAGACTGACTTGGAGGAAGACATAACCTTATAATAAGAAAGGATTTACAGTGATTTTGTTAATAGAAGGCAGCTGGATTAGTCCAAGTGTTTATGTAACCCTGCATCCTGTTTCTTATGGTAACCAACCAGCTGTCTCCCACTGTAGTAGCCCAGCCAATGGAATTTGGAGCGTACTTCCTCTGAAAATGCCTAATAGTTACTGAAAGGCCAAATAAATCGCCTTTTAAAGCCATCTAAGAAGCCAGGGGTCCCCATCATGGTGCCTTTGAGCACAATGGCACTTGCCAGCACCTTTCATACTGCCCACCAAGTGACTTTACAATGTGGGTGGGGCTATGTGGGACTCTCAACCTGCAGGGTTTATGATTGCAATGTTGGTTTTATTCTCACTCCTCTTTCCCAGTGTATTTTTTTTTTAATATAGCCAACAGTGGATCTTTAAACCTGGATGAGAATTCCCCCCCCCTCTCTCACACACATACAATCTGAAATTATATCCTGATAAGCTATTAAATGGTCAGAGGTTTATACCTGAGAATCATTCTGCAGCAGTTGCATGGAAGCAGAGTTCGGATCTTTTGGCCCAAATGAGTTTTAATCTTGATCCGCAGTCAAAGAGGGAGGGTAAGCCCAGAAGGCTCCAAAATGATAGAGAAAATGGCATTGAGACAAAATGGCAGTAGAGCTAGGGACTATTTACAGCAGACTTCACAAATAGACACATATATATTTATGTGTTTGGTGTTTTGTTTTTTTGCAGCTGAAGTCCCCAGTGTTGTTCTGATCATGCCAAAGTAACCTGCTTCTGAATGCCTGAATTTCCCAATTTCTTCACAGCTTCCCATTTAAAGGAACTAATGAAAAGTAAATGAGTTCAATTTCACATTTCTGAATGAATCTGAGAGCGTTGCTAGCCGTATAATTAGATTGATTGGGTATTTGTATATGTTTCAGCCACTCAGTAAAGATTCTGAAGCTGTACCCCATCTTGCTGTGAAATAGCCTTTGTACGGTCAATAGCCGAGAAAAGTTATTTCACCATGGTTACACTCAGTTGGAGGATGCTTATTTTTACCCAGTGGACGTCCTGTGCTGCTTAATGAATCTGCCAATACAGTGCTTCACTTGAGCTAATTTGTGGGTTTTAATCTAAGCTCATTTAGCAGTGCTTTGTGTTTATTTGCTATAGGATTGGACCAGATCTAAAAAGAACAGTCAAACTTTAAAAAGAGCAGGATGTAACTAACTGGGATAAAAAGACCAGACTGTATTTTAAGAGAGATTGCCATGTACCATCATATCAGAAAAGAGAGGAAGTAACCATTTTTATATTTCCCCCATATTTTCTGTAGCCACAATTTTATTTTGTCAATCAGCATCTCATGCCTCACAAAAGAGTTTTCTATTTTCAAGGACACAGCTGCCACTGCCTCTCTTTCCCATTATATATTCCAGTGTCCTGTGATGGTTTGCACGGGACAGGATCTAACCGAATTAATCTGCAAAGAGCTGCTACAGTGACCAGTAGTCCTGCTGGGTGTCCACCATGCCCTCAAACAACTGCCCTATCCACAACCCACCTTTTAATTTATGTAATATCAGGCTTGAAGAGGACTTCAGACTGGGGCTATGGCTCAGTGGTAGAGAATCTGCTTGGCATGCAGCAGGTCCCAGGTTCAATCCCCAGCATTTTCAGCCCAAAGGACCAGGCAATAGGTGATGTGAATGACCTCTGCCTGAGACCATGGAGAGCTGCTTCCAGTCTACATAGATAGTACTGACCTTGATGGATCAGTATAAGGCAGCTTCATGTGTCTTCGTGTGTGACTTGTGTCAAACTACAAAGCTGACTCCCTACTAAAATATTTTTAAATCGGTCCTAATAAAGATATTATGTTAGTGCTTTGAGAGGGTAAAACGTAAAGGTAAAGGTCCCCTTGCTCGAAAGCCAGTCGAGTCCGACTCCAGGGTTGCGGTGCTCATCTCCGTTTCATAGCCAAAGAGCCAGCGCTGTCCGAAGATGTTTCCGCGGTCATGTGGCCAGCATGACTAAACACCAAGGCGCACGGAACACTGTTACCTTCCCACTGAAGTGGTACCTATTTATCTACTTGCAATTTCTTGCTTTCGAACTGCTAGGTTGGCAGGAGAGGGTAACACACAAAATAAAAGAGACCACAGGAGCTATGAGAAATTTTACTCTTATATTTTGGAGCTTTGATTTTTCAGGCTGATTTGTTAATGTAATTCTTGCTGATCTGTTCCATGCAATTGTATACAAAAATTGCCTAGCTGAGAAATACTGGTATGAAACCGATATATTGACATTTTCAAAGGGTGGATGCTATCTAGTTTGAGTACAACAGAAGCAGACTTTCCTACATCTCCTCTCTCACTGTTGTGACCCTTGAAACAGCTAAAAATGTCCCCCCGCTTTCCAATGAGGGAAATGTCTTCCACCAGCAGAAAATACAGCTCAAATCCACCCCAAAGGGATTAGTGGGACTGGAGTGGCCATCAGCTGCCACTGTAGCAATGGCTGTATGCTGTCTCGATGTACCAGTTAGCTCACATAAATGTTTCTCCATGCATACATATACCCAAGTGATATGAACGGGATATGTGGCCCGCAGCTGGGGATGGACCATGACTTAATGGTAGAGGATCTAAGTCCAAAGTACAATTCTTGGCATCTCCGGTTAAAGGGACCAGGCAGTAAGTGATGTAAAAGATCTCTGCTAGGAACCCTGGATAGGCTCTGCCTGTCTGAAAAGACAGCACTGACCTTGATGGACCAAGGGTCTGATTCAGTATTCTACAGATTCATGTGTTCAACTGGCCAAGTTCTTTTTACCAGCAGTTTATCAGGCTGGCTTGGAGTAGAAAATTTTGAACATCCGTGGTATTTTTTCTTAGAAGGGAAAGGCAACAACATTTAGAAGAAGAAGAGATGGGATTTATACCCCGCCCTTCACTTGGAGTCTCAGAGTGGCTTACAAACTCCTTTCCCTTCCCCTCCCCACAACAGACACCCTGTGAGGTAGGTGAGGCTGAGAGAGCTCTTTCAAGGACAGCTCTTGTCAGAACTATGGCTTGCTCAAGGTCATCCAGCAGCTGCAAGTGGAGGAGTGGGGAATCAAACCTGATTCTCCCAGACTACAGTCTGCACATCTAACCACTACACCAAATTGTGTTTTGCTTGTACAGCGGAAAAGTTGCTGTCCTTCCCAGTTCACCTGATGAAGATTCTCCAATATTATAGGTGGTCCAGTAAAAGATCTCCCCCCCACCTGTTTTGAATCTCATGGACTTTGAGACCAATATCTACTATCTACACTATCTACAAAAACTCTATGTATATATGAACTGTGTTCAATACTAATTTGAATGGGAGGTGGACTGATATCTGCCATGATATGCCAGACTTCTGCTGATAATTTCGCACTCTTATATACCCAGCTCATACTAGCTAGAAATTGAGCATATATGCATTGCCAAATTATAGCAATGATTTTTGTTCAGTGATCTATTGTGTATGTTTCCTTCTCTTCTGAAGAGCCTCCTTTTCAATATCCAGGAGTTATTCATGATCCTAATAACTTCTCCACATTCTCCTGCAGGAAGCTTGAAAGTTATTAATGTGCCGTGCAGCTCTGTTTTCACACCATGCCCCTGAAAATATAATTTTGCAGTTTCCTGCAGCTGATCAGAGAAGTGGAGTAAGACACTGAAATGAATTTAAAAGGGGGGGGGGATTCTGTCTAGCAGCAGTTTAAGTAGGGCAAAGCTGAGGCACCAGAAAGAAAACTCTCTGTATCATGGCATGAGCAAAATCGAACTTTCATGTAGGAAGAAAGGCTTAATGTTAGGGAAATGATCTCTCCTTTAAAACAATAGTGGGAAAATTATGTCCCCAAAGCTTTTATATGCAACCCACAGACTTGTTAAAATTCTGAATGTCCCACCATCATATT